CCAGCAGGATCTACCCAGGCTTGCTAGAGAAAGGCCTTCTTCTCTTGGTGTGAGAGCCTCTGACAGGAAGGGTCCTAGAAAGACCAAAGCCCAAGGCTCATTTGTAGGAACACAACAGCAGTCCCCTGAATCCTTCCTGGAAACACTGTTCTACACACTGAGAAGTCATTAGCTCTGTGCTGCTTCCTGTGTGAGGCAATAAAACCTCGGTCTCATCTGCAACATCCTGGAGCTATCCACACATCACATGTAGAGGGCATGAACGCTTTTCGTACCCAGTCGGTATGAGCCAGGCAAAGCCATCTGTCCAGGGAGTCATGGGACAGGGAAGGAAGTCAAATGTGCCCTATTCTATGAACCCCAGCACCGCCCGAGTGAGGGAGCCCAGGGGCTAATGACACAGGCCTGGACAGAGTGTCCCGGTTAAGTTCTGCTCCTCATGAACAACTAGGTGACCTCGGCCAAGTTATGCAACGTCTCTAAACCTCCCTTTCCTTATTTGCAAGGCTGGGATAAAAGTGACACACACTTCATGGGATTATTATGAGGGCTTATCAACACTAAACAAAATGCCTGGTTTAGGTAATTAGAGCTTGGTGAATGTTATTAGCTATTATCAATGAAAGTGCCCAGCTGCCCTGGCTAAGATCCCCTCCTTGACCTCTGGAGGGGACTAATGGAGCCGGGAGGAGGAGAGCCTGTAGTTCTGGATAAGAACTTCCTTTTTGACTCATCCTTCCAGAGCAGTTTCTCATTGGGGTTCCAAGGCCCTGAAATTCCATCAGGTTCTTCCTTATTATCAAGAAAGTTACCCAAATTTTGTGTGGGTTCACTTTTCAACAGCCCTGTAGTTGCTCCTCCACTCAGGAGGCAATGGGGCTGGGATTTGCTACAGAACCAACCAAGGCCATCCTTGTGCTTGCCGAACAGTTAATGCAGAGTTAGGGAAAACACTGTCCTCTGCTGTGGATTTGGAGGAATCAAATATGAGAGAAAGCCAAAGAGGCTAAAAGGAAGTTCTTTGGAAAGAAGATGGGAAAGAAGCAGCTCTGAGGGAGTCTGCCACACCAAACAGTCCCTGTTGCCAAATCTCAAGAGTCACTAGGTCGAGGCAGGTGGGGCCACTAAGGCAGGGCACTCACTGCTGTCAACCTTCCCCCGAGCCCTGACTACATCTGGGCTGCCCCTTTCATACTGCCTCTAACTGACACAGGGCCCAGGCCAGGCAGGCGAGAGCCCACAACCCAGGGACACAGCCTTTTCCAAGCAGGGAAGGCAATTCAAAATCCTTTGTGTGCATTGTCTTAAAACAAAGAATATTCCAGATCATCCTAATTTCCCTCGAGCCCAAAGTGAAAAGAGTCAGGTATAGAGAGTTGAGTTCCACCAAACAAAGTAGCCTAAGACTCCTTTAGAGCACTCAGTTGTCTCAGAGCCCAGTGGGGGTGTGGTTGCCATGACAACCAGTTCATGACTAAGGCTTTGGCATAACTTTTTATTCTTTAATTTTTTGTAAGATTTTACTTATTTATTTATTTATTTTAGAGCGAGAGAAAGAGCACAAGCGGGAGGGGCAGAGGGAGAAAGAGAGAGATTCTCAAGCAGACTTTGCTGAGTGTAGAGCCCAAAAGGGGGCTGGATCTCATGACCCCAAGATCATGACCTGAGCCAAAACCAAGAGTTGGATGCTTAACTGACTGAGCCACCCAGGTGCCCCTTTGGCATAACTTTTTAAATCCTCATATTTCCAAGGGGGTTGTTTATAGATAACCTTGAAGAACACTGTTTTGTGGTTAAAAAAATCAGAACAGAGTGGTTTCAAGCTCGACTTCCTACACAAGGACCTGTATTCCAATGGATGTTGTCAGTCTTCATCTACACCTCAGATTTTATCTGCACTATACTCGGGAAAAAAAAAAATTCTCTGACCTTCCCATGTTCCTTTGCATTAAATCCTTAATCAAGAAGCCTAAGGGTTCTGACTCTGGTGGGGTTTTCTTAGTTAGAACTTAACAGAAACAACAGGTTTGTACACATGTAGGACTTAATAAAAGAATATAGATTTTAGGCAATGATAAAAAGCTTGTAATATTCTGCTTCTGCGGGGTTCATCAGAGGTGAGCTCCAGGGACTCAAAACATGTCAGATTATGTCAGCAGTGTGGGGACTTGTGGAAATGGGATCTCAAACTGCACACACACAGTTAGTATCCTGGAGGCTGGTGGAAACATAATGGGGATCATGTCTGCTCTCCATGTGCTGTGAACTTTACAATCATTATCTTCTCTCACCTCACAGACTCCCAGCAAAGTGTTATTGATTCCACTTTATGGATAAGAAAACCGAGGTTGAGCAATATTTAATAATTTGTTCAAGGATGCACAGCTTATTAGCAATGGAGCCAGGACTTGACACCGTCTCTGTTTGACCTGAAAGCCCATGCATTCAACAATAGGGCCATTATGCCTCTAGTTGCAAGAGCAGGGCTTGGGAAACATGGACCAATATCAAAGTTCAGTAATAGGAACTGCTTGTACGCATGGGGTCACAAGCTCAAATACCTTCAGGTCAGGCAACATAAATGAGTAATGTGGGTTGGGTGAAAATATTAGGGAATGGAGGACTGGGGCAAACTGTGAAACAGAGACCATTTTCTGTCTAAAAGGGTGCCCCTAAGCATCTCCATCCAGTCATCAGTATTACATCTACCAAAATTTTCAAGAGAAACTGGAAATCTGATTTTCATGTAAAAACTTTCCATTTTGAAAAAAAATGGCCACAAAGTCCTTCGTTAAGCCCTACAAGCAAACAAGATACATTCTGGATGCTATTTAGTATCCTCCATTCTGGACTAAACTCTCCACAATGGTAAAACCTCTGTCTATCATCTCAACTCTCATAGCCCCAGGCCCCAGCACAGGGTATAAGAATTTAAGAAACATGTGTACAACAAATGAATGAATCCTCAACTCAACTATCTGGAAAGAGGTGAAGAAGGACTAAGCTCTGGCTCATGAATGAGAGTCCTTTCAACAGAGCCACGGCTGCCCATTGGATGGCAAAGAGACAATGCAATGGCCAAGCCCACACGCGTGGGGGGCAGCAAATTTTGGTGGGGGGCAGGAGGTTGCTCACATTTCTCCTTCCATAAGGCAAAGTTGACCTGAGAACTGGGGGAGACTAAACCACCCTCCAGAAGCTAGAGTTGTCAGGGCAGGGAGGGCTAGGAATGGGAAACCTGAGCTGTCTTTCCTCACCTAGTTCTTCTTTTCCAGTACATTCTCTATGTGCCAGTTATCCAATCTGTGAAATGGAATGGATGGGGTATACAAGTCCAAAAGATGGAGGAAAATAATGAATTCATGGAGAGTAGGTTAGTTGGCAAAATTTTTTACAGAAGGACATGCCTAAGTACTCAGTGCATCCTAGAAATACGATCCCAAGAAGATTCCGATTCATCTTTGGAAATCCTTAAATATTTCTGGTTGATAAGTTAGATGAAACAAAGCAACAAGGGAGTTTCCCAATGAAAACCTGCCAGGTCTCAATCTATCTTAGTCTAGTTTCAAATGTGAGAAGTATCTCATATTCTCTATGCTTTGAATGTATCTATATGGTTTGGTTTTGGTTTTTTTTTGAATAATAACCCAAAATCAATAGTCAAGCAAAAACTAAGTCCTTATAAAAAGATGTGTTTCCACAAAGATACAAATGTAGGGATCTGAAGGGGTACGTGCACCCCAATGTTTATAGCAGCAATGTCCACAATAGCCAGACTGTGGAAAGAGCCAAGATGTCCATCGACAGATGAATGGATAAAGAAGATGTGGCATATATACACAATGGAATATTATGCAGCCATCAAAAGGAATGAGTCTTGCCATTTGCAACGACGTGGATGGAACTGGAGGGTGTTATGCTGAGTGAAATAAGTCAATCAGAGAAAGACATGTATCATATGACCTCACTGATATGAGGAATTCTTAATCTCAGGAAACAAACTGAGGGTTGCTGGAGTGGTGGGGGGTGGAAGGGATGGGGTGGCTGGGTGATAAGACATTGGGGAGGGTATGTGCTATGGTGAGCACTGTGAATTGTACAAGACTGATGAATCACAGATCTGTACTTCTGAAACAAATAATGCAATATATGTTAAGGAAAAAAAAAGAAGAAGAAGAAGAAGATAGCAGGAGGGGAAGAATGAAGGGGAGTAAGTTGAACCATTAGAGACGATGGACTCTGAAAAACAAACTGAGGGTTCTAGAGGGGAGGGGGTGGGGGGATGGGTTAGCCTGGTGATGGGTATTAAAGAGGGCACATTCTGCGTGGAGCACTGGGTGTTATGCACAAACAATGAATCATGGAACACTACATCAAAAACTAATGATGTAATGTATGGTGGTTAACATAACAATAAAAAATTATTAAAAAAAAAAAAAAGATGTGTTTCCAACTCTGCAACTAAACTTCAACATATTCAACTATAAAGCAGACCTCACTGGCAGGACCTTTGTTCTGAGACAACAAAGGGAATCCTTTGTACCCAAACTGTCACCAGCTGCCACTGGCTAGAAGGGCAGCTCAGTGGACAGGCTGGACTTCTCTCCCATGCTGGTGGCCGGGTTCTCCCAGGCCTCACTGTTGACATTGCTGGTGTTTGAGCTTACCTGCCATCCCTGCAACCCAGGACACACATTCTTTCCCTAGCTCCAGCTGGTCTTTCTCTGGCTCCCACATTGGGATTGTGGTTGAACAATATAATTTTTTCAACTAAAGAGACAATATTACTCAAGAGCCAACTGTCCTTTCCAACTCTTCCTCATCCAGGAGATGAGCCTTGCTTGCCACCTTATTAAATAGCACAACGCTCCCCTCTAAGAAACCCAGCAGGGACCACTTGTGATGATATTAAAACCACCAACTCCAGCTTCCAATCATCCCAGAAGTGTCCCCGGAGCACTGTATCATCTTCTTACAGTTTCAAAAATAAGAATACCAACCTTCAGGAACAGTGGGAGGAGATTCAACAGGCTCTGCTGATGTTCAGCCGGGCTCCCATGAGCCAACTTCTGGTATTCCAGAAATTTCCTTTCTAGCATCTCCCAGAGAGCAGTGGGACCAGGAGATTGCCTTCCATGTGGGAAGTCAGGCTGAGCAACATCAGGCTGGCCTTCAGTTTTGGAACCTGGACACTCAGCTCTGTCTTCAGCCCTTGAAACGTCTTCTACCTCCATGCCTTAGCAAAGCAGATCTGAATTCAGAACAAAAAACAAAAATGTCAAGTCCTGTCATAGCACTTCCTGATGAGGCCGGGTGTGGGACAAGGTACGGTACTCACTCGGTTCAGTTCCTTTTGAAGATGGTTCCGCTAAGAATCTGAAACTGAACAGACGAAAATAGGAAGATTTTTTTTTTAAAAGAGATTCTGACTTAGATGTGACTTATAGTGACAATCTGACATGTGCCTGGCACTGTGCTGGGCTCTTTACACAGACTCAGGAAAGAAATGGGTATTTTTTCTTTTCTCTGTATAAGGAAGGAAACTGGCTGGGCCAAAGGCATATGGGCAGCTAGACGTCCAGTTGAAGTGCAAACTTTCAACACCAAACCTGGGTTTTTTTTGTTGTTTGTTTTGGTTTTGTTTTTGCCTGCTGCTGTTCCTCCCCTAAAAGGCTGAGTAAGTTGAAGGGGTATGTGCGACTGTCACCAATATTTGTACAGGCCTGTAATTCTGTATTGTCAATGGTAACTTCCTCAACCACATTAGTCTGAAAGGACATCGGTTCTTCACTCTCAGCATTATTTGGTTCACATTCCATATTGTTAGAGAACTTTGTCTTCAAAAGGACTCTTTAACCACCCCCATGCTAACTTAAAACAGATCCTTTATTAACACACACAGGGGTGATGTGTGCAAGCTGCAGATCTTGGGTCAGTAGGCAGGAGGACAAGAACTTATGCAGTAAAAATAGCCAAAGACTGATTGGCCAGAAGGGTACCCTCAAGAAGATGCCTTTATTTGTGTCCTTGACTTTTCAACTGTCCTAGTCTTTAGTTGAGTCATGACTGACTCACAGCACAGACAAGATTTGTTTGCTGCGTGTCAGGAGTATAGGAGACTCCACGTGGGGCCCGGAATGCCCAGGCTTCCTGCAAAAATCCCTCCCCAACCACAATGGCACCATGTAGGAGTCCATTCTGGAATCTGGCCAGTGACCAACAACCACCAGTCATGGCATAGCAACAAGAGGGATGGGCACACAAAGATGGATCCACCAGTGTTCTGCTCTGGGCTGCAGCAGCTGAGGGCCGATGTCATGCTTTATTTTTAGCCCAGCACATGCTCCCTGCAGGCTAGAAGGGAGTGGATAAAGGGTCATGTGGCCAGACACACCATCCCTCTTTGAAACATTCTCACCCTTTATGTATACAACTCCATGAGTCCCTAGCGCTTCTTCCAACACACATGCTTAGTACTCTCAAACTTCATTTTCTTATTACAAAAGCCATGAGTTCAGTGTCAAAATAGGAGAGGAACCAAGTATCGGGAAGACTATCAAGTATTAAAACGAAAAGCATACCAGCCTTGAAAATTCCCTAAGCAGACAGAACCAGTTTAGTCATACAAGCAAAGCTTAATTTAACTTATATTGCAAAACTAACTTGCCCTCAGTTGTCTCTTGCTTACACATCTGGAAATCAGGAGAAAAGCTTAAACTGTTTTCCAAGATTGATATGAGGCAACCATTGACCAACTGCCTGTCATTTAAGAAAATTCTAACATTATAACCACTTGCTGTGAAAAATAAACTCACTGCTTTCTCACTATATAAGCTGCTTTATAACCATATACCCCTGAGCCTCATTCTATGTTTTGGGTTGAGTGTTCCCACTTCGCAAACTGTCTTTTTTGGTGTGTGCACAATCAATTTTCACTAATTACTATTTCAGTGATGCATTGATTTTACTTTGGCTGTTTCTGAGCTTTTGATACCAGCTTGCCTATACCAAGAAAAATGGCTGTTGGTATTCCAGCTTTTATCTATGACTATGTTGTTTAATAAAAAACATCCTCCGATATTGTTGAAGCAAACTTTGTATTTATACTTTTGCTTTTGATGGTTGGTTGGCTGGGGCTTGGTGGGAGTTTTGTTTCCTCTGTTGGGGTGACCCTCAGGAGCAGGTGGTGGGATGCCTCTTCCCTGACCTGGACCAGGCTCCTGTCTGGTTTTGTTGGTTTATTATTCACTTATTCCTCGGCCCTCCATTCCCCACCTGAATTCTCTTCTTCCCCACCCTGCCCACCCCGCCCCACCCCAACATGGGTCCTTCTCTAACATGGCACAGGTGACATGCTTTCTGAATACAGGCAGTATGAGTTCCCCGAATGACCTTCTGCATCTTTTTTGCAGCTCACTTTTTCACTCAGTGTATGCCTTCAGACCTACCCATGTGGCTTTGTGTTGGTCAGCTTCATTTCTTCTAACTGCTGCCCCATGTTACAAAGTGGGCATCACATACCTATCTGACTTGTTCACTCCGCAGTCATGGCCAGATTGCCCATGACTTCCCGTACTGCACTCAGTTTTGTTCTGGACATTCCCATGCAGGTCCCTTTCATGGGGCTGCGTGTGACTGGCTCCAGGTATGAACTTGGGAGCAGGAGTGCTGAGTCAAGGTTATACACCTGCTTACTTCAACAGAGTACCACCAACAAAGATGCTTCCAGAAAGCTGGCACCAGACCACGCTTTGCCCACAGGCTCCATCTCACCAATTACCCGGCTCTCTAATGTCTGCCAATCCGATTGAAGTAAAGTGATCCTTCATTGTCATTTTAATTTACATTTCTCTCTAATGAGCCCGAGCATCACAGATGCCTCTTAGCTATTTGCAGTTCCTTTTCTGCGAACTGACTATTCATAACTTTTGCTTATTTTTCCTTGCCTGTCTTTTTCTTATTGTTTTGAGGAAGGATATTCTAGAAACTTGTCCCTCGTTGGTTTTAAAAATCACAAATATCTTCTCTCAACCCATTTTTCTTACAAATTAGTTCATAACTTTTTTGTCACAAAAACATATCATGAATATTTTCCATGTTGCTAAAGACCCTCTACATCTTCATTTTGAATGGCTGATGGTGACCATAAGAGTCATGTTGATCCTTCATTTAATTAATCTCCTATAGGCATTTAAGTAGTTTCAAATTATTCACTGCTATAAATAATACTATAACAATAGGCTTTGTGTCCAAGTCTTTGCATATATCCATGATTAAATAATAGATTGTAATACCTTCTTAAATTCCTACAATGGAAATAGCCAGATCTTGACATGTATTTCTCTTTAAACACTGCATCAATGTATAGTCCTCTGACCAAGAACACACAAGAGTTCACACTTCCTTACTTATCATTTTTTAATTCTTGCTTACTTAGTAGGTTAAAAAGCAATGGCATCTCTGCTGTATCCCACCATGTATCTTGCTGTACTGTGTTTCTGTCTGCAGCTCAGTCTCCTTCAGGGGTCCCTCCAGTGGCTTTTTGGAGTCAGATGGCAAGTGTTCTCATTTCATGAGCTCCCTGTAGGAGACCTCAGCTACTCCCCTGAGAGCCACACATCCACTGAATGTTAGCTCCATGAAGGAAGGCATTGCACCTTTGTCAATGGTTAGCACTGCATAGATGCTCAGCAAAATGTTACTGTACAAATGTATGAATGAATGGACAAACTTATATACTGATGGCACCCAGACCTCTCTCTGTAGTCCAGACCCCTCTTCTAAACAAGTTGTCTTTTCTCACTTTAAGATCTCTACTTGGATTTCCCCCAGACTCTGACAATCCCTATGTCCCAACCAAATCACCATCTCCATCATCAACAGAACCAGTCCCAGGTCCAACACAGACATCCCAATGCACAGGATGGCCATTAGGGCCAAGCTAAGTGTTGCTTCCAGCACAAAAAAAGTCATTTTGTAACCACACCTTCAGGGGCTACTAATAGATCCATTCAATAACACCCCTCTGCGGGCTTGCCGCCATGCCACATTTTCAGACCAAGCAGGTGAGGAGATAAGGTGAAAATATGGTCCTGGTAAAAGTGGCTGGATATCCAGGGGAGATATCAGAAACCACTTCAGATTTCCTCTGAAATTAAGAAGCCGTATTTACTGAAGTGAAATGTTTGAATCACATTCTCTTGAATAGAGATGTTTTCAAAACAAGAATTTCTAACAAAAGGGGATCCGTGAAATCCCAGGGAGAAGTTGTCTACCTCAATTGTTAGGCTGTGGCCATCCCCCCTCCTGGTTCTGCCCATCACCCTAGACCTACTTTATTTGTAAGAGGAAGGTAACTGGGAGTAACTAACCTCTCAGGGCTATGTGACAAATGGCAAGAAGAAATCATTCTAATCCACTTCATTATCAAAAGTGCCTTCTTACCTCTGTAAGAAGGTACTAACTTTCATATCCTGGGCAAAATGGAATAAGTTGGGGGTAGGGTCACTGGGGTAGGGGTGAGGGTTTAGGGTGAGGCAAATAAGACACTCACCTCAGGCACAAGATGTAAGGGGATCCAAAAAATCTCAGTAGCCAAGATAAATAACATTTTAATGCAGTATCTTTAAAAATCAAAATTAATGCCAAAAAATCCATGATGAGCAAACATCAAAATTTCAAAAAGAGACAGACTCTCACCCAGCAGATGCCTGACCCCACCCACTGGCCTCACTTGATGAGAATGGGAGCTGAGGGCATTTTGTCACAAAAATCAACAAGTTGAACAAACACCACTCCAAGACTTCCATAGATTCTACTCTAATACACACAGTATAGCAGCCACGAGCAGAGACTCTGGAACCAGGTCTCTCCAGTTTCAATCAATGGGCTTAGACCAAGTGGAGGAAACATATCATGCCTGTGTCCTCATTTATAAAATGGGACAATAACAGGACCCCTCACACGGTGCCGGGATTAAGTTAGTGCTTGGCACATGTCATCATTAGGATGGAGGGATGGACGATCATTTATTGGTGCTTCTATAAATGCCGGCACCACTTCACGTAATCTTCCTACCTTCCAGCAATGTCAAAGTTATCAGCCTCAGTCTGCAGCTGGTACCGAGGCTCGGAGCAAGGAAGTGACCTACCCAGGGTCCTGTTGTCAGTCAGCAGCCGAAGCAGAGTCCATCCTGGGTCTGCAGACAACAATGCACACTGGAGGCTAAGCTCAA